AAACTGCTTGGCTTAACTACTGTGATGGCTAAAGATATTGCACGTGGTTCGGGGGTATTTCTTCAGAATCCAGCGAAGCACCACGGCAGTAGCCAGGGAGGTTCGAGACCACAAAAGACGTGAGGGCCATGTGTCCGTAGAAGGGACCACAGCTGACAAAATGGCCTTAGAAGGTGGACTTGAGAACGTCTATAATACGGAGGAAATTGGCCTGTTTTACAAAATTCTGTCTCGAGGTACGTTGATCTTCGTCGGGTAAACATATGCGCACAACCAGAGGTAAGATTCTAAGGACCGAGTGGGATTGCTTGTATCCTTGCCTAATTGTACTCTGGGGAAACACCTCGATCGAGGTGTTACTGTTGCCGTAGTGAAACGTTGCTCACATTATACTTTAAGAATGTATCCGTTGAACTTCAACGATTGCAAGGAATTTGTAAAAGACTTGGAGGATACGCTGATAAAATGAAATGTAGGAAGAGTGGTTCAACTTCCTGTTGAACTGTATTAGAGGAGTGTATAAAATATCATCAGGCTTGCTGGAATTTCCATTTGCTTGACAAACAAACCGAACAAGGAATATGAGTTATTGGTTTGATTGAAAACCAGATGACTATGCTATCTTAAGGGTGCGGTTCTGTAGCGGTATCCATTGTGGATTTTTACGTATTTACTCCAGTCGATAGGCAAGAGTTGAAGGTCTGTGCATTAAGTGCACTTGCATAATCACTGGTTGCCATGTCAGTGTCCTTCAGGCCTCTGTTTTGTTTCCCAAAGCTAAGCGGTACGAAAATGTATGTAACCTGTTCAACGAAGGATATTGCCTTGATATTGAACAACGACCCACGGGCCAATGGGCCTGTGGCCAAACGGTAGAGCTTCCGTTGCAGTAGCAAAAGATTGTGAGTTTGAAATTCTGACGTTCCGAACATAGGATTTGATATGACTGGCTAATGACGACCGATAGGCCAGAAATGGCCATCTAGTTTCCTTCGTATGTGCCGATGCTCTTTTTGGATGACCCCTGGTCGATATGCGATTGCCTGTAAGTGCTATAGGTTGAATCCCAAGGCGCAAGGGGAAGGGTATGACCCGTAACCTGGGCAGTGAACACTCTCCCCCCCGACCATAGTTCATATCCCAAACCACAACCGACGGGACTACGGTTCCACGACCCAATGGTAGGGCATTGGACGGCTAAACGACCGAGAAATCTCGGTTCGAATCTCAGATCTCATAAGGCCGGGTTGGGAATGGCTGGCTAACGACGCATAATACATCAGGAATGGTCAGTTGAGTCTCCCTTCCCTTCTCCGATTCCACCTTATCATCCTATAAAACAAATCGCTATGTGACTGCCTGTGAGGGCTCTAAAACAAGTTCAAAGGCACAATGTGGC